TGGAAGTTAGGTTGCTTCTTTCCTTCACTTTTGGGGAGCTCTTCCACTGACTGTTTCTTCTTCTTAGCTTAGCAACTAAGCTCCGTTAATGGAGGCTTCAAGTTTGTATTATGTAAATATGGTGAGGAGAGCATATTAATGAGAAAGAGCGGGCTTGGACGTTAGCCTAAAAAGTCCCGTGGTTTTCTCCCTTTTCGGGTTTCCACGTAAAAATAGCTAGTTCATACACGTTTATATATTTATTCACTTTTATACTGAATTTATGATCCTTAATATCCGAAGTTATGTTGGGATTTTGGATCTACGGGACTAAAACTCAACAACTATTAATCCCTTTAAATTAATCTCAAGTATTACAATCACCCCCACTTAGGAATACACAACGTCCTCGTTGCGCCCATAAACCAATCTCTATAAAACCCGGAATCCTCCCTTGCTAAGTTCTTGCTCGATATCCAAAGGATCAACACGTTGTCGTAGGGTGGCTCTGATACCACCGGTAATACCCCGATCTTGCAGGGTATGAGGTAGTTACTGCTGAACACCATCCAAACCTCTAGTATTATCCCCACAAACCACCACAAGCCTTTAACGCGTACTTTGTCCTCACTCGTGCACGCCCTGAGAAACTTCCTTGGGGGTCACTCATCCCAAGACTACTCTCATGCAAACACGCTTAACTTGGAGTTCTTATGTGATGAGCTACCTTAAAAGGAGATGCACCTTGTTGGTATGAGTCTATATATGGAAGCTCTCGTGAGGGCACAGATCCCTGATATAGGTGTAGGTGAGGATGGAGATGGTAAAGGAATGAAAATGGTTAAAGCTTGAGATGGGGGCTTCAGAGGTAGGTGAGGGTGGAGGCTGATGAGATGATGATGTTTCAAAGATTTTTGGTGGATAAGGAACTAAGGCTAAGGATGATTGCACACAAGTACGCAACCTTTTCTCCCCTTCATGATGATCCAAATCATCGACGTCATCATGCTTACGCTTAGGTATGCATTCTTGATAACGACAAGTGGTCAGGATAATAGGTGAGTTATGGGCTAAGATGTCGTGGACTTGTTGGAGATGGGGTGGTAGTTCGGTTTCGCTATGTAAGCGGTCAAGGAAGTAGTAGGATAGATTAAGAATGTCAAGGTTGGTGGGGTTGGGTGTAGGTAAGGATAGGATATGGGTAGGCGAAGTGGTAATGGGTGTTGTCTAAATGGTGGATGGTAGGGTGAAGGTAGTGGTAAGTGGTAGGGTGGAAAGATTAGAATATGTAGGAACGAAGGGAGTGGGAGTGGTAGGCCGCAGTTCATTAATAAGAGATAGTCTAAAAGTTGCAAGTTCAAACCGTAGATTCTCCCTAGTAATGAATGCATGAGATGAAAAACATGATCTAATCATAGATTCTTTATCACAGCATCAGTAAAAATTGTTGAGTCGTGGCCTGTTGGGGAGATACGTGTGGCATGACTTCAAACCATCATAGGCGAACCTCTTATTGTTGTGACTGGTGGTAATGATCCAGTATAAAAAAGTGTAAGAGGTTGTGCCCTAAAAAATGGTAAAACATTTCGGATGGTGGACACTTGACCTAACTTGCAAGGGCTTACAGTGTGGGGCAGTTCACTCTATGTAATGGGTTCCCCGTGAATGAATAAAACAACCATTTGTTGGGATATAATTGAGTGGTCTAGATTTGGTTCAATTTGCGCCATTGGAATTGATGTGGAGACTTCTACTCGGGAACTCACAACATTAGAACTTGTACCTATGGGTTGAGTTCGGATATAGTAGTGATTGGGGGTTGTGACATAAGAACAGAGGAGGAGACATCAGCTCTCTTGGACCGAGTCTCACCTACCCTCTTCTTTGGTTTAATCGCTCTCGGACCCTTACTACAAACTTGGCTTTGTCCCTTGGCTAGGCTCAGTTGGGTTTACTAAGCCATTGAGACTTATCTCATTGATCTTTTTCCTTCTTTTCTCTCTATGCTCCCCCTCAACTAGAGCACACGGAATGCTTGATCATTGTTTGTCACCGGGGAGTAGAAAATAGAGCACTCCCCCTAAAAATGTGCATCCTTGAGAGTATCATTGCTTTGTGCTTTGTCTGCCGCCAGGAGGAGAAAAGTGAAACTCTCCCTCAGAATGTGCAAGTGGTGTTGTTTGTCATTTGGAGATTAAGATCAAAAGTCCCCTTTAGATTGTGCTTTCTTCGTTGTACAGATTCAGGAGGAGTGAAAGAGAAACACTCCCCCTCAGAATATGCACTTGGCGTATGTTGGTGTTGAAGCGTGCATTTGATGAATTTCTGCTCAGTGGAGAGTATACACGCCAATAATCTCCTTGATAATGTGCACTAGGAGCGTTGATGAATGATGAACTTGATTGTAAGCTCAGAAATATTTCTTCATCGTTCCCTCTTGATGTATGATTCGACATGTGTTTGTAGGTTCTGAATTGAGGTGTTTAGAAGTCATTCTTATGATATCGGGTTCTGAACTGATGTACCCAAAAACTATGTTATAGTGCAGGTTCTAAGCTGTTTTACTCAGAATCCAAAATGGTTGTTGCTCAGCACCTCGATTTCCCATCATGTGTGGAGCAAACATATCAAGTACCACACATGTGGGACACCTGCAAATGGATTAAGAAACCACTGGTACCCATTTGAGGATGGACCCGTCCTTTATAGCATAACACAAATTTTGAAATTTTTGTTTAATTATTGTTCCTATAATTGTGATTTAGGAATCCATTTTTGAACAATAACAGTTTCAACACAAGTGAATAATGGGATATGATTTTGAGAAGCAAAAATTGAAGTATATTTATGTATAGTAATCATAAAATTGATTCGTGGACAACCTAAAATGCATCAATCCATTAAATTTTCAAGAAAAATGTAATGTTACAAATTAAATTCTGAAAACACATATTCAGTCATAGCTAGTGATGGATTCGGTTCGGGCCACCCGGCCCGTGACCCGGCCCGGCCCGGTACTGTGCGGGCCCGGGACCGACCCGGTCGGGCGGTCTGGGACCGGGTGTGGACCCGAACAAGTGGGAATGGGCGGGGCGGGCACGGTTCCGGATAAATGTGACCCAGCCCGGCCGGGTCGGGCCCAGGCCCGGGTCCGGTCTGATTTTTAAAAAAAAAATAAATTGGGCTACTAGCCGTTAGGGGTGGGTGGGGACAACCCAAACGGCTATACAACCGTTGGGTGGGGTGCAGGGGGGTCCAGGGGGTTGGGTGGTGGGGGGTGGTGGGGGGTGGGGGGTATAAAAACCTATAAATACTCCTAATCTTAAACATTTTTTTTCATATCTCTTCTCCAATTCTTCCTAAATCCTATTCTTAACTCTCTACTCTCTAATTCTCTTATTCTCCAATATATTATATTTATTATTTATATATCTACTTTATAGTTTATACTTAAGAAGTTAAGATGGAAAATCAAGATGCCATTATACGGTATAATTTTGATAAGCAGAAGGACCCGAAGACCGGGATGTGGTACGCAATTTGCAAATGGTGCGAGAAAAAATGTAGCATGGGGGTTTCAGGCGGATACGGGATGGCAATCAAGCATATGAAGTCATGTGACAAAGCCAAAGGATCGGGAGGTGCAGGAAGTTCCGATTGATTACAATTTTCAAAATGTTTCTCTTAAAGTTTGTTTTAATTTTCAAATGTAGTTCCTATTTCATTTCAAATAAATGCACTTGAAGTTTGTTTTTAATACTCGTATAAAACTATAAACTATAAAATATAAATTATAAAAAAAAAACTTTAACTGGCCCGGCCCGAACCGGACCCGACCCGTGACCCGGGCGGGTGGCCCGGCCCGAACCGGACCCGTTCAACCCTCGGGCCGGTCCCGGGTCCATGTCATACAAACCGGCGGCCCAACCCGGCCCGACCCAGCCCGAGTCCATCAATAGTCATAGCATGCATTTATAACATAAAAAATACAGAAAAGTTGTTTTAAAGTGATATTTAACTTATATTTTTTAACTTATGGTCAAATAGATTTGATATTCGCTAACTATTGATATTGTTAAACAAATACGAATACAAATTGAAAATAATATTCATTGCATATTCGAATTCGTTTACGACCCTACTTCAGGGTATATATTTGCACCTTTCACAGTAGGGATGGACCCGGGCCGGGGCGGTTCCGGTTCCGAGCCGAGCCCTAGGGGTGGACTCGGGCCGGGCCAACCGGCCCGGAACCGGACCGGCCCGCCACTGTGCGGGCCCGGACCGGCCCGGGAACCGGTTCGTTGGACGGTTCGGGCCACCCGGCCCGGTGGATTCTCGGTTCGGGCTCGGGCCCTTCAAAAGGTGAACCGGCCCGGCCGATTCGGGCCCAGGCCGGGCCAATTTTAATTTTTTTTTTGAATTTTTTTTTGAGTTTTTGGGTTGGGCTGGTTATTTTGGGCCATTTGGGGTGGTTAGGGTTGGTTTGGGGGTGAGGGGGAGGGGTGGGGGTTAACTAGGAAAAGCCCCCAAACAAAAAAAAAATACCCGAGGCCCGGCCCGGACCCGGGGTTTACCCGGGCCGGTTCCGGGCCTCCCCTTCTTGAACCGAGGCCCGGCCGGGCCCGAACCGGCCCGAGTCCACTCCTACCGAGCCCGGGCAGGCTTTTTTTGCAAAATGTTGGGCCCGGAACCGGCCGAGGTTGATCCCGGGTCCGGGCCTAACCGGGCCAGGCCCGGGTCAAGTTCAATTTTTTTTTTGGTTTCTAATTAACACCCGACTCCCCCCCCCCCTTCACCCCCACCCCCCAAACCCCCCCCCCCCCCCCCCAAAACACACAACCCTAACCTAGAAAAGCAAAAAAATTGAAAAAACAAAAAAATGAACCAGGCCCGGCCCAAACCGCCCGGGCTGGTTCACCAAAAGTTGGGCCCGAGCCCGGCCCACCCGGCCCGCCCAAACGGGCTAAAAGCCCGGAACCGGCCAACCGGTCCCGGTCCGGTCCGGGCCCAAACAGTAACGGGTCGGTTTCAGGTCGGGCCGACCCGGTTTAGTCCATCCCTATTTCACAGAGATCACATTACTAGCGGAAGGTACTGTTTTTAACCAAATTACTAGCGGAAGGTACTGTTTTTAACCGATCATTACTTCATTGGTTCACACACACATCACACAACCCGAATTCTGAAAAATAACTATCTGCTAAACATTCATGAGAACACATTAATGAAATGTGATACCCACATTTGGACAGACTACATCTACAAGTTTATGAGGCCTTGCGTTCAAACTCACAACTGCCAGAAGTTTGATATGAGTGAGCAATTCCCAAGTTTTCTGGCCAGTTCTTACAGCTATATATGGTAAAAAGCTATACGATGAAAAAGAGTATCATGATGATAATGGAACAGGAAAATTGCAACCAGGACCCTGACCTTGCTTCACCCCAATAAAATAAACCATCACAGTTCTTCAGGCTGTTTTGGGCTTAGGTTTGATGCGTTTAACCCTTGAATACAGGAAAACTCCAGCAAGGGCGACTCCAGTTCCTGCACATATGATGTTTATGTTGCAGTTATCATGTAAAAAATAAACACGCATAGAGCTCATTTGGTAGGGCATTTTTCAGTTTATCCGCCTTACAAGCTGATTTTTTACCAAACACTGATTTAGATTACTATGGTACAAAAGTTACTTTTTGGCTTGAGAAGCTGAAATTATTGAAAACGGCAACTCAACCTTCATTTTCAGATATTGTTTTATTTAATTCATTAAAAAGAATAAACACTTTGGGCTTGTTTACTAACAAAGGTATTTTCCAGTTTTCTATTTCTATTTTCCAATCTCCAATTTTCTGTTTTCATTTTTCAATTTTTCTATCTCCAATTTTTTGTTTTCAGTTTTTAGTTTTTCATTTTCAAATCTGAAAACATGTTCATACAATTCTTTCACCCAGTTCTGTGACCTACCAAAAGACCGAATGCACGGTCCCAATCCGAAACCAAACCTAGTACAACCCAAGTAGGGTACTGGGTCCCACGTATAGGAAAGTTGAGATCGAAGTCGGGCGGTCCCGATTGATCTCAACGGTTAGTTCAATGAATTCTTTTCCCATTTCCCTATTGATTGACAACTCAATGACTCTTTTAAAACTGTCCACCTTAAAAAGTGATTTCGAAAACCGAGGCTAAATCATCGGGACATTATTCTAGTACAGACAAGGACTACTAGGTCATTAACGAGGCTCGTCCGGGATTACCCGGTTGTCGATCAGACCAAACATAGACCGTGGGGTCATTTACCAGAGAGGATGGGGCTAGTCGGATCATTGATCCTTTAGGACGGGGACCGCCTGGTGGTTGACCGGACAGGACGGGGATCATAGGGTCATTGACCGGACCAGACAGCTCGACCTTCGATCGAACCGATCAAGTACAGCCCGGTTGTGGATCGGACCGGACAGGGACCGTTAGGTCACCGTCGGACCGAACAGAAACTGCGAGGTCATGGACCAAACCAGACAGGAACCGTCAGGTCATTGACCGAACCAGGATCGTCGAGTCGTTGATTGGACTGGATCAAAATTGCTCGGCCGTCGACCAGACCGGACATGGACCACCGGGTTGTCGAGTGAACGAGATAGGGACCGTCGGGTCGTTGACCGGACTAGAACTAACACTGAAGCGGGATTAGATTTAACACTAGGCGTACGTATGCAAATTCATTGCAGTGGCACTGCATCATCCTCATTTTCCAAATTTGGAAAACTAGTAAAAGTCACTTCTCCAATTCATCAAGGAAAACAAAGACATATCTCGCTTTTTTGTTTTGGAAAACGATTTGGTAAACGCAATTTTCCATTTTTCTTTCTCTAGTTTTCCTGCAATTTTTTTTGGTAAACACGTTTTCTGTTTTCCTTTTTCCAGTTTCTCAGTTTTCTAATAAACTGGAAAATATCTCTGTTAGTAAACAGGACCCCCTTTATGTTTTTCAGCTTCATGCCCTCATATTACGATTTAGCAGATTCCCACTACGCCCACTTTACGGTTCTACCGAGTGCCAAACAAGCCTTCAAGTACAGAAAGATCAATAAAGAGTAGAGAGGGGGAGAGGTGATACCGAGAGCATTGATTGTTGTTACAGGGGTACGGAAGAAGAGAACAGACGTAACAATAACCACCACTCGCTTCACGCAGTTACCAACAGAATGGGTGATAGGAGACACTCTCTGCAATATCATGTAAGAAACCTGAAACAAGAAACCCTCTTGTCAGTCCTCTAGGGATACCACATATAAGATCCTATTTGGGATAAGTGATAACATCCAGCATAAGTGCTTTTATGATAACAATGTTCTCATTTTAGCGCTTAGAGTTCTTTTTTCAAAGCACATGTACTTTACAAAAGAAACAGTAGAAGATTTTTGCTCTATAAAGCACTTTTATCCATTTCACTCTTTAAATTACTTTGGTAGAAAGAAGTGCCTTTAACGGTAAATATTACTTCATCCGTTCTGTAGCAGTTGCAACATTGTGATATTTACACTATTCACATATTACTTTGACCATGATTTTCTACTATTATATATAATTTAATTATTATGTATAAAACATTACTCCCTCCGTATTTTGAAGATTGCTACACTTTCCTTTTTAGGATGTACTTAAAAGTTTGCTACATTTTCCCATTTAGTAAGTTTTTCCTTTAAAACTACTCAATTATCATTACTTTTTCTACTTTTTATCTTATCTTTTATACTTTTCTACCTTCTATCCTACTTTTTTACACTATTCATTATCCCTATTATTTCCTCCTTAAATAATGTGTCAAAGCCTAATGTAGCATTCATTTAAATATGATGGGAGTATTAAATTTCTAATAATGTGAAATTCCTAAATATTAACTTTTATAATGTTTACCAATATGTAATTAACATTAAACATAATTACAGGCAAGCGTGAAAGTCAAATTGTTGCAATTAACAAAGAACGAAGGTAGTATCAACTTTTGTTTATATAAGAACAAATGTTTGGTGCTTAAAAAATACTCTTAAGTGATTTAACGATAAAACATTTATACCATAAGTTATACCAAGCAAGAAATAAATGAGAAGTTTTAGGGAATCACATGTTACTACCTTCATGGTCTATTGTGGCATCATCACCACCACACAATTATTTAGTGGAGGCTCCCACTAAATAAGGGAATCATATGTGTTTCCTTAAAACTTATGGTAAATAAATATGAAGATGTACTAGACCACAAAAACCTGTACGTTGTAACGTGTATTGAGTACTCTATTAGAGCCCCCCTCCCCCTAACAAAAAAACTTTAAGAAAATCATTACAAGATCAAGACACCTGTTGGTATGCATGGAAGCAGAGAGCCGCAATAAGAGACCTAGTGTAAATTTGATTGACATTCAATCCCTGATATAGAAACATGAAAGAAATAGTGTTATGCAGTCCTCATACTACAAATCATACATACATTACAAGTCCAAACCAAAACATGTGACCCAAAAGTGGAAAAGAGCCTGCACAAAAAAATGCATCTCTGCATAAGTTTGGAAATATTTCCATTTCAGAACTACTTACAGCAGATTGCAGGTATGCAGGTGTGAACTTGACTCCTTCCATGTACAGAGTAAAAGGAGCCAACAAGAAAAAAGACATGATTGTAATTATTGAGAAGAGAGTAATGTTGTCCAATGAATCCTACATAAATTTAAATGTGTATGTCAGAGACTACGCCAAGTAAATGGGTAATGGTTTGGGTGCTTCAGGTACATGAAAACAATCATGAAGCGCAACATCACCTCTTTCTTAATCATAAACTTTTTGCTGAGAACATTACGAGATTGGTTGGTCAAATTAGATGCCATGGCACTCCAAAATCCAGCCCTAGTAGCATAGATAGAATATGCATTAGAATAAGTAATGTAAGATAACCCTAACACCTTCCACAAGAAGATATTGAAATGGAGGAACATATTAAGAAGTCCATACTAAGTATAGTTATGTAAAGAAACCAATGTGATAAAAGGCTAACAAAGCAGATAGGGTTGATGCCCGTGCTTCTCACCAATTAAAAGAGGGCTCAGTTAGTGATGCCAGTGCCACTCCACCAACAATTGGAACAAGCGAAGACACAACCCAAAGGGTAGGGAACTGCAATGATATGGCCAGTTAGCACAACCCGAAAAAGGTAAAGTTGAGTACAGTCAGAATTAACCTAGAAATATTGAGCAAATAGCATAAACTCTTCAAAGAAAAATGCACTGAAAGGGAATGCACACCTCGCCAAGAAACATAGCTGAGAGAACAACAGAAAAGAAGGGCTCCATAGCTTTAATTGTATGGGTGAAAGAAACAGCAACTTTTCCAAGACTCATATTGGTAAAAAGGTTTCCTAAGGTATGCACCACTGCCAATGGAAAGATTGCTGCAAGCTGGCAATTAAAGAAATGAAGTAAGACTGTCCATCTAGCATCTGCAAATAAAAACATTAAGAAATATTTACAAAGAAATCCATCTCAACGTCAAGAAATACCTGCGCGCCACTTATTTTAGGTCGTTTATAAAGATTCAAACTCCACATGAGAGTTACAAGGACCGAGCCAACAGCAAATTGAACAAGAGTAACTGTTACTGGGTAATGGAAGGGTTTCAGGACCTACAAAAAAACATCAGAGCAGAATCCATTTCCAATAGAGCTAAGCAGATAAAAATTGCTGAATAAGTCGAACACCTTTGGAACACCAACCAAAGATGAAAGAATGAATATAGGGGGTCCTTCGATACCAAGCTTCTTTATAAAGACATTTCAATCAGGTAATGTTATCAGAATCTTTTTTTCTAAGGACGAATGAATATCAAATCAGGCTCAAATACGTGTGCACCCACTATACAACAGATATATGAGATTTCTGACATATAAATATAATACAGGGCAACCGGTACAGCAAATCAGAACAAAGAATGGCATATCTATAGATTACCTGTTTATTGTAGATATTGAAGTAGATGTTAAATAGGTACCAGAGCCCAAACAGCGATCCGAGCACGAGAGTGTCAGTCAAGCCTTTAGACTGCGGCGCCTCTCCGGCGCTCTCAGGCCCAGATGCAGCGTGGACCTGAACACCACCCGATTCGCGCTGAGGAGAGTGGAGAGGGGTCGAAATCCACCCGTTTCGGCTCAGTTTCAGCAGGGAGGAGGTAGAATCGGAAGAGCATTCAGTGGGATTAAGCCACCGAGAAGAGGCGGCGCCGTTGTAGAAGGAAATGCGCAAAGGTTGCGCCTCTGTCCTGGTTGGAGGGAGAGAATAAGGATTGAAGCGGAGCAAGGGCGAGCCATGCTGCTTCCTTGGAAGAGGAAACGACGAAGAGAATGAGATAGCTGCGCTCTGCATCTTCTCTCGACTCAGACAACGGAAAATGCAGAGGGGAATGCGGAGCGTATGTACAGCGCAGCGTATCTACCGGTAGGCGGCGCTTTGGGGGCTCCGTCACCAACAAAGGAAAGGGGGGAGAGGAGTGTGGTGCGGAAAGAGAAGCGGGCTTTTGTATCAGATTTCCAGGGGGTAGTTGTGGAATTGCGGTGAAATTATTTAATTAGAAATAATTTTAAATGACACAGCTTAACTATATTTTTTTATTTATAAATCAATTTTTTAATCAAACACGTAATATGTAATTTTTGATTTTACGTGCTGAATTGTGTAATAAAAAAAGTAACGTTAAAGTTACTTTTTTCGCTGAATTTAATATAAATGACGATTTTATTAATAAAGTATATTTTAAATATAATTTCTCATAAATCAACAGAATCAGACAATGCAACTACTTCAGCCAAAACTTCATAGATTTCAGCAGAATAGGTCGATTCAGCCGATTTCAGTGGTTATCAAACACGCTCGTAATTAGGAATAAAACATTTAAAAGTGTAGAAATAGAATTTCAATGTTTAATACTGTCTCCGTCACCCTAATATTGGACTAAAAGGGATGGTCTGTTTTTTAAGAAAAATAGAATTATATGATTGATGATTAGTTGATAAAGTGTGAATAAAGTAAGAATGAATTAGAGTCACACAAATGTTACCAAATATGATATGTGACAATAATAATGGAACATCCAGAAATGGAAAAAATTAAACAATTATAGAGGGAACGGAGGGAGTACGAGTTAAAGAACATCGTATTGACAAAAATACCTTTAATGAAAATCGTAACTCCTTTATTATTTTATTGTCAAAGAAAACACCTTTATTAATAATACATATATACATATATATATACACATAGTATAAAACAAAATGACAATACTAAAAGTGTACAAACGCGACACAAACACAATTATAATGTCTTGAGAAGCGATTATGACCTTCTCTCATCCAGCCGCCGCTAATAGTCTTCACCGATATCAATTTTGTTCATCTCTTCAAAGGATGGTGAACATCACCCCACCCTACTTGCCTCCATGTGAAAAGGCAACTTTTAATTATTTTGCGATTGTTTTAACATTTTCATTTTTAATCCATTTTTTAAAAAAAATATACTAGTATCAATTTTTTTATGATCTTTAATTTCGTACTGATATTTCATATGAAAAATTAAAAAAAAAATCCAGCTAAAAATAGTCATTTAGGAAAAAAGATTTTTTTTTCAATTTTTTATATATAATATTGATATCATTGGAAAGATCGTAAAAAGTTATTAAATTTGATATATTTTTCAGAAAAGAGTCAAATAAGTCATTCTATAATCTCCAAACCATCACTTACACCCATGTACTAAAAAAGTATCATACAAGTACACCTACTTTAAAAATTCAATAATTTGGCTATCTTGACCTATAATAGAAATTTTTTTATATTAAAATGTCTATAAATTTTAAAATTTGAAGAAATATAGATAAAAATTATGAAAATTTTTAGAATATCAAATCAATAATTTTGAAATTTTGTAATTATTTTTATATTCTACATCTATTTAAAAGTTTTTATATTTTATAGTCAATTTTTACATTTTCACTTTATTGTTTTAGTTTTATGATTTTTACTTATTTATTTTAATGTTTTTAAATTATATATCTATTTTTACATTTATACTATTTGTTATATTATTATTACATTATTTTTTTCAAATTTATATGACTTTTTATAAGTTTTTTCCCACACTCCTAATTATTTTTTCTTAGAATAAGGGCTTAAATAATGGATTGAAAATAGTAGAATTCCGTACCACCAAACCTCAATTTGCATTTTGCATACCATTGCACTCTCTAACCACTGTGGACTCTACTTTTTTTCTAAATATGCTCCTTTTTATCTTAATATTTTTCTCAAAATAGATATTTAGAGAGTGCAATGATTTTTCTCAATATTTCCGTAGAAAGTATATTCAATTTTTACATTTTCACTTTATTGTTTTAGTTTTATGATTTTTATTTATTTTAATGTTTTTAAATTATATATATATTTTTACATTTATACTATTTGTTATATTATTATTACATTATTTTTTTCAAATTTATATGACTTTTTATAAGATTTTTCCATGCTCCTAATTATTTTTTCTTAGAAGAAGGGCTTAAGTAATGAATTGAAAATAGTAGAATTCCGTACCACCAAACCTCAATTTGCATTTTGCATACCATTGCACTCTCTAACCACTATGGACTACTTTTTGTCTAACTATGCTTCTTTTTATTTTAATATTTTTCTCAAAATAGATATTTAGATATAGAAACATAGGATCTTAAATATTTAAATTATTACATTAAAATTTGTGTGAAAATCATCTCAGTTACTACCACTACATTAATCACTTTCTCAATTATTACTACTCAAGTAACAACCATCTCACTTACTACCGCTCCAACAACTACGTTTCAGTTCTACTACTCCAGTGACCACCGTCCCAATTACTACTGCTCGAGTGACCATCTTCCTAATTAGTATCGCTCGAGTGATAGTTACTACCGCCTAGTGACCAATGCCATAGTGACTACCACCCAATGACCGGTCAACACCATAATGACCACCTCTTAGTGACCACCGCATCAGTGACCAACGCTTCAGTTATGACCGCTCCAGTGACCAACGCCATAGTGACTACCGCTCAAATGACCACTGTCCTGGTTACTACCACACCATTGACCACCGTCCTAGTTACTACCGATCCAGTAATAGTTATTAACTTATTATTATCAAGTGACTAAATGTCATAGTGACTACCGCCCAATGACCAACATCAGACCGCCGCATAAGTGACCAATGTCATAGTGACCACCACGTCAATGACCAAACACCTCAATGACAAATATACTACTCCCTCCGTCCCGATTTACTTAGCCAAACTTGACTTATCAAGTCAACGGCGTCTAACTTTGACCGATTATATGTTTATATAAAGAAAGTATTGATTATATGAAAATGATATGAAAATATTCTTGGTTAAAAACACTGTCATAAAAGTATAAAATTATTAAATTTTGCATAAATATATTAGCTTAAATAATTGGTGAAAGTTAGAGGTCGTTGAATTGAAAAGTCAAGTTTGGCCAAGTAAATTGGGACGGATGTAGTATCACTCTAGTGACATCTGAGGCTTTAGTGACCCATCACCAGTGACCTATCAAGGACAATTACACCGTCATTAGAGTGATCTGTTTTTCATTAGAAGCTAGAATTTGCAAATGAGTTGTGTACGAATTAACAAAGAAAAAAAGAAGTGTTTCGCATCTCATTCTCCAGTTTCACAGCCAAATTAACACAACGCATAAACAGCGGAAAAATCAGTGGAGTTAATCTAATCTAAGCACTTCCACCATTTTTCATCATTATGATGTTTATAAACATAGTGCTTAAATAGAGTCTGCCAAATAGATCCTTTGACAAAAGAGAGATTAGGGAAGAAGCAGTATATGTCAAGAGTAACATGATGGAATTAATGCATCTCTGGATCTACAATTTGGAATCGATTCATGCATTAACCTTTGGAGTCCACCCAACAATGATATAATCATCTTTTGGAGGCTTAGTTTTCTGGAAAGCCTCTAGCAAAGACGGACTTAAAAAAGTATGCACATGAGCCACCAGAAGGTAGTATATAACTTCAGTGCCAAACTCAAATTAGCATATCTGATTTTCTCCTCAACAGATGCCTCCAGCTCTTCAACCAGAGACCGCTCTGTACCATCCCACATAGCTAGTTGCGCACTAACGATTTTGATTTCCTCAAGCCATAGATCGTGAAGTTTTCCCTATTCACTACTTGCAATAGCCGCCATCCCAATTTCCTTCTTCGTTTTACTGGAATCCGTCGATTCACAGAGTAAAGAGAAGAATTGGTGAGAAAAGAGAAACAGAGACATACCTGGAGACATCATCGAAGGAGAAGGAACGATGATGACAGTTTGCAAACAAGAAGATTAAAATAAAGAAGAAAACTAGTTCTAGCGGCGGCGGAGGTGGGGTAGCGGCAGATGCTGTTGCCGTGGTGGAAGTGTCGTGGCGGTGGAATGGATCCCATCGGCTTCAAGTGGGAGAAGGCAGAGAGGAGACCGGTTCTTTTTTTGTTACCCAAGGGTGTTTTAGTCTCTTCAGTAATTTCTAGTCACTTTTTTGTCTAAATTCAGGATTGGTCATATTTTTGTCTTTATAAGAGTATAATATTATTTTTTTCATTATTCCATGAATCACTCTCCTACAACAAATATAAGAAAATAATCTTATTAAAGGTATACTCTTTCCTTTTACTTTATTTGCCATGAACCAAACATACCCTTACTTTTGAGGAAACTAGGAACTTCCCAGATAGGCGGAAAACATATGCTCTACAAGTCAAGGCCATATCCCCCCCATCAGTAAATCTGTAACAAGACACCATTTATTGGAGTTTCACAGAGTTAATTTTGCAATCATAGGGACGGAGGTTCCTCTACAAAGAACACACTACCAATAATGCGAAGAACCCCCCCCCCCCCCCCCCCCCCCCACACACACACACACACAAAATAAAATAAATAAACATGCTCAAGCAAACACTCATTGAATCAGAGGGTGTTACTTGGTAATGAGCCCATCAAGATAACTGTATCTTGGTCTCTATTGTGGGAAGGCCTAGTTGACCTAACCTTTGGGAACAAAGCAGAAAGAAAGTGTTTACTTTTATTATCAACAATGCCGCCCCCATTGCTCTCTGGCCCCGGATTCAAATGAGAACCACAAGGGCAAGTGGGTGTCTTTTTGAAGCATTTTTTGTGGAAAACTGAACTGCAAGATTTGCATCTTTCTGTCTCTCCTTCCTGTAGGGTCCGTTTTGATCCCAAAAAAATGTTAGTCAAAACAATAGGAGAAAAATAGAGGATTAATTTGGAAAGAAATAAAACTTTAGGGAACATAAAATCTTGGTTAGGTTAAAACTCAATAAACTTATTTTAGATATTTGGTCAAACTCAGTTTATTTATATATTTCTACTGTAATGCGTATTGTATAAAAAAAATCTCGATGTATATTGTATAACATTTTGATTGAGAAAGTAATAAGTATTACTTGCAATAATTAAATTTTTAAATTTATGATCCTAAGAATTTAATTTTGAACATATTTATTGCCAACTTATGCCAAGTGTATCTCTACTTTATGTTTCTGAATTTGGCAAACATATATAATTATTGCCAAATTTGATTCAATTTTGAAAAGAATTGAACTTTTGCTGGGATTTTGATAGAAATTGAAAATCGTGGGCAAATTGACAATGTTCAAAGAATAAACTAGTTCCGAAAATTCACGCAAAGAATTAGTATTTTGTTGTAATTGGACCGCCAAATAAAAGTAAAGAAAGTTGAGATTAATATACTCCCTCCGTATTGAAATGTTTGCTACAATAGGGTTTGGCAAAATATTTAAGAGAAAAGTAGGAGAGGCAATGAATAGTGTAGAAAAGTAGGAGCTATGAAGCACGGAAACTCTCAGGAAACAATACGTTTTCTTTCGAAAACTCTTGGGAAAGAGTACGTTTCCGTTTCGGAAAATCTTTGAAAACTCTCGAAACATTAGTTTTTCAAGCAAAAGATGACATTTCCAGTTTCCCGTTTTCTCATGATTTTCACATTTCCATGCAACACAATAGTAGGAGAGATGATGGAAATAAATGAAAGAGAAGATAAAAAGTAGAAAAAGTACGAGTAATTGAGTATTTTTAAGACAAAACTTACCAAAAAGGGGAAGTGTAGCAAAAATTAAGAAACATTCCAAAAAGGAAAATGTAGCAAACATTTCAATACGGGGGAGAATGTCTTACCTGGAAAGGGAAAATGAAACAAGACAGGTCATCACAATGTTGTCGAGCATTACAGGGGATACCCACATCACAACATATGAGGCACTGTTGGGCAATATGCTCTACTATTTTTCTTGAGATAGTCTCTACCATCACAGGCAGTGCTGTGCATTAAAATGGGATAACTTCATGAGAATAAACAAATGCGGAGTTCACATTGAATTTTAAAAGAGTGATGGAGAACATATAGAAAGGTCACACACACAGTGCATAAGGGTCCTACAAACAGGGTTCAGGATAATATCCAAGTCAAGTATGTAATTTGGACCCATTCAAGGCCGAAGCGGATGAAAATACCCTTTAAAGTTTGAGTAAAATATGCATGGGGACTAAACTGAATCTAAATTACACAGTCAAAGATCATATTATGTCTAAAAGAAAGTGAATGACCACATTGAGTTATATTGGATATATAGTCAATGGACTAAAATGCGTATTAGCTCCAATAAATATCAGAAAACCATAAATACTGAAAAACAGCACATTTTAGGAACTTATAAAATGCAAGTTAGCTCAAGCACTGACCAGCAAAAACACCCTTGGAAAGATCAATAAGGTCTTTAAGTGCAAAAAAATCACTGCTTTCAAGAAGATATCTGCGAGATCCAACCACTTTGAATATACAACCTCGAAAGCTACAACGGACAAATGGAAGCAGCGCACCAATACGCTTTCTCATATTTGTCACACGTTGCAGAGTTAGAACCTTTGAGAAAAGTACAGGGTTTACAGCACTAACACAAAGCATTGGCTGAAAAAGATAGAAAAGCATTAGTCCTCATCCAATCTTGATCTGCAAAGCAAACTGTAGAAACCATAGTAGAGTTGGGCTTAGCCCATTTTGTATATCTTTGTATATGGAACCCTAGTGCTCTAAATATAGCTATAAATATAGCTTCTTGTATAGCATTTGATATCAAGTATATGAAATATAACAATACTTGTTCACATGGTATCAGAGACTATATGGCAAACAGTAGTTAGGGCGCTGGTTTCCGGCAAGCATTTCCGGCATGATTTCCGGTGTGAACAGTAGCTGCGGTTGGTGTTGGAGCACACTTCCGGTAGTGAATATCCGATCTACACCTACCGCCTTGCTCAGCATACCATCGCGACCAACCATCCGGAACAGTACCGCCATGGAGGCTACCACGCGCCCTCACGCGCCACCGCCCTTTCCTGCAGCTCACTTACATATTTGCAGATCTACTCCGTTCTAGTTATCAAGAGATCACACAGAAGACACTGAAGATCTGTGACTCCTGGCGACTAAAACAACATAAACCAGCCACTCATCGGACAACTCACGCGCCGCCGCCGATCACACGCGCCGCCCAGATCAGTCGTCGCCGTCGCCGTCTCTCTGTCCGCTCGCCGCTGCTCTGGCCGCTCACCGCTGCTCCGGCTGTTTCACCAGACAGTTTCTTCAGCTTCTTCAGTGCTCTCTGTTTTGCTACTGCTGCTTTGTTTTTTATTCACAGATCCTCTTTGCTATAGTTTTTTCCTTGCAGCAGTAATTTTGAATGACTCATATTTACTTTTCTCTTTAATTTAAAAAAAAACTCAAAAAAAACAAAAAAAAGAATTAAAAAAAGTCTTCTGGTTTTTCTTCATTTGCTTTGGTTCTTGTTATTACAACGGACCGTTTGGTTGGAAGTGCTAATTATCAATCATGGGCCATTTCTGTGGAGATGTGGTTCAAAGGTCGAGGACAAATTGATCACCTGATCACACATGCCAATTCAGTCAAGGATAAGAAAACGGAATGGGAAAATATGGATGCACTATTGTGCAATATTTTGTGGCAATCCATGGACTCCAAACTTCATCTTACATATCAATCATATCGAACGTGTAAACAGATTTGGGAGTAAACCAAGTCTAATTACACTAATGATATTCAAATTCTGTTTTCTTTCGGATCCAAAATTGCCATGCTCAAGCAACAAGAATTGGACATCCAGGATTTTCTAGGCCGGGCTGAGACTTTACTCTTTGAGTATAATACCATTCAACCCATCACGGAAGATAGAGAGAAACAACTAGAACAGCGACACCAACTTGTTATGGTTTTAGCTTTGGCGGGTCTTCGCCCAGAGCTCTTATCTATTTGTGAACAAATTCTCTCAAGTTCTACTGTTCCAACTATGACAAAGGTTTTTCTCGAATTCTTCGTGCGGCCCCTATATCAGCTGAATTGGGTTCTACTGATTCTACCATTCTTGCATCCCAAGGTGTGGGGCCTGACGGAGGACACAACAAAGGATATTTGCGTTGAAGCCGACCTAAGTGTGACTACTGTCATAAGATTGGTCATACTAAAGATAGATGTTGGAAGTTACATGGGAGACCTCCTAGCTCAGCCACTGTTGCTCAGATCCCGCCATCTCCGGTTGTTCTACCTCCAGCCGAATATGCCGCATATCAGAAATTTAAGTCGGCTAATGTGCCTTTTTCAACAACTGAGTTAGAGGTGCAACAATCTTGCTATACCCTCTAACAAGCCTCCTGTAATAGCCAGTCAACCTTAAGAATCCTCTCAACCCCCTTGAGATCCTCAGGTTCAGCCCAGCTTTTCATTGCTTCTATTTTTACTAGGATCAGCTGCCAGTCCTTCAGAAATAATGTGGCCTAAGTAAGTTAACTGACTTTGACCAAAAAAAAAAACATTTCTTCTCATTAGCCACCAATTTATTTTCCCTCGAGGCTTCCAAGACCTTCCTCAAATGTTCTTTATGTTCTTCCTTAGATTTGTTGTAAACCAGTATATCATCAAAGAATACTAGAGCAAATTTTCTTAAGAAGAGTCTCAGGACTTCATTCATTAGAGCTAGGAAGTTTGATGGGGGCATTAGTCAGTCCAAAGGGCATGACCAAGTACTCATAATGTCCCTCATGAGTCCTCAAAGCAGTCTTATGAGTATCACTTGCTTTCATTCTAATCTGGTGATATCCAGATTTTAAATCCAGTTTTGAAAAAATGTTTGTTCCCCCTAATTCATCAAGAAGTTCTTCAATAACTGGTATTAGAAACTTGTATGGGACTGTTATCTTGTTCAGGGCTCTATAATCTCCACAAAACCTCCAACCACCATCTTTGTTCTTAGCCAATAATACTGGACTGCTATATGGACTATTATTGTGTTTTATTATCCCTGAACTGACCATTTCCTTAATGATTTCCTCAATCTCATTCTTTTGATCATAAGAATACCTGTAAGGCCTTATGTTAGGAATGCTTGCTCCCTCTGTGATATTGATGGCATGATCACAGGTTCTGACAGGTGGAAAATCCAGTTTAGATTTGAAAACTTCTCGAAATTCTTTCACAAATTCCTCCCAATCTTCATCCTTCTCTTTGTTCTGATTATGCTCAGTCTCTTGTCTTTCATAATACAGCAAATATCCATCTCCAGTTTGCTGTAAAATATGTGTCATGGTTTTCAGAGAAACCTCAACATTATTCAAGGTTGTATCTCCCTTGATAGTATAATCCTCCCCTTGTTGCCTCCATTTAATGGTCTGGTTCTGAAAATTTACTTCCATATCTCTTAATTAAGTTAACCATTCCATACCCAGCACCATATCCGTACCTCCTAACTCCAGGATATAAAAGGTTTGTTGAATCTCATTTCCCTGCACATTTAATCTTGTTGAGATTTGATATGATTTCCTTCCTGATTTTAGTATTTATTGTACAGATTGTATCAAATCAGGAATTAATTAGTTTCTGATGTGCATATGATTCTTTCCTTGTAATTATTTGCCTTATAAATAAAGACTTGCTGAGAGTAGTTTCTCTTAAGCAATTTCATTCAAATCAATAAATTCAAGTTGGTATCAGAGCCTGATCCTCACTTTCCCTAGTCGTCCCTGCAGCCAACCTTCATCGAGACTGGTCTGCCGGCACTAGGAATAGAAGTCCTAGTTATTCCAGATTGTTCCCAAGTCAGTATACGTCATGTCTCCTGCAAGCAGCACGACTCCTGACTCTTCCAGGAGTCTTGTGTCCTTTGTCTTTTCTGGGAATCCCCAAATAACTTCTGAAAAACTTAACGGCAGAAACTACATGGATTGGCAAGTTTCTGTTGAAATGTGGTTCTTAGGCCAAGGTTTGTCCGAACATTTGACCAAAAGAGCCGATGAGATAACTGCATCTGAAAGGGGAAAATGGACTCAAGCCGACCATCAATTGGTTGCTATTTTGTGGCAGTCCATTGATCCCAAACTGTTGATCCACTTCCGCACATACAAGACGTGTTATGACATATGGAAGAAAGCTCGAAGTGTGTTTGCGAATGATGTCCAACGGATTTATGACGTTGTTCATAGCCTTGCAACACTCCAAATTTCCGACCATGACCTTCCATCATATGTGAATAAGGCACAATCCATTGTTGAAGAGGTTAAGGTGATGTTGAGCGAAACTGATCTCCCTAAAGTGTTTGATAAAATTGATAAAATGTGTATGGTGTTTGTTCTCCATGGACTTCATAGGGATTTTGATTCCGTGCGGAACCAGATCCTAACGAATCCAAACATTCCCACTGTTGAAGACCTTATCGGTCGACTGTTGAGAGTTCCTGCACCAAGTGGAATTGAAAGTGTTGGTCCTCACGTTGATTCAGAGTTCTCTGCTCTTGTCTCTCGTTCTAGCTATGGCGGTCGTGGTCGTGGTCGTGATAGAGGAGGACGTGGCACTGGTGGTCGACCTAAGTGTAGTCATTGTCAGCGCATGGGTCATACCAAAGATAAATGTTATGAAATTATTGGTTGGCCTGACAAGTCTGTTAATGTAATGCACTCCGAACCGGTGAAACCTGGGGCCGCAACTAAAAGTGCCCAGAATGTTCTATCAGATGATGAATATAAAGAATATCTACAACTTAAGGCAGCTCAGCATTCCTCAGCAGCAGTCAACTTTACCGGTAACTCTACAGCTTATCTTTCTCAATCAGGACCTGCCAAATCTTGGATCATAGATTCTGGTGCCTCTGATCACATTGCCGGTAATCCTTCTCTTTTCTCAAAGTTATCTCAACCTAAATCAGCGCACCATGTCACCCTTGCTGATGGTTCAAAAGTTAAATCCATTGGCGTTGGACAGGCCACACTTCATCCTTCTTTGTCTCTTAATTCTGTTCTTCTTATCCTTGGTTGTCCTTTCAACTTGGTTTCTGTCAGTCAACTTACACGTCGTCATAATTGTGCTGTCACCTTTATTGGTGACTCTTTTTCTATACAGGACCGGAGTACGGGACAGATGATTGGAGCAGGATTTGAATCTCAGGGTCTATACTACTTTCAGACTTCCTCTTCAGTTGCTTGCACTGCTATGGAGTCTCCTTCTTTGCTTCACTAACGTTTAGGTCATCCTAATCTCAATAAACTGAGGAGAATGGTACCTCAAGTTTCCAATTTACAGTCCTTAGCCTGTGAGTCATGTGAAATTGGTAAACATGTTAGAACCACTTTCCCAAAAAGTCACAGTCATGCAGAATCTCCCTTCTATCTTGTTCACTCAGATGTTTGGGGTCCAAGTCGTGTCAGTTCTGTTTTAGGATTTCGGTACTTTGTTATCTTTGTTGATGATTTTTCAAGATGTACGTGGCTTTATTTAATGAAAGAACGTTCAGAGTTATTTGGCATTTTCAAAAGTTTCTGCAATGAAATAAAAAATCAGTTTGATCATACCATTCGTGTTCTACGTAGTGATAATGCCAAGGAATATTTCTCAACAAATTTCAATGAATATATGGCTACTCAAGGGATAATTC